TTTAAATCTTATTAATTGAAAAGTCCTTGGTTTTTTAAAATTGAATACCATTTATTTATTTAAAAAAAGATTCTCGGTCTTGTCACAAGGTTTTGTCAAACTTGTTTAGTCGTTGAGAAAATGGAATTGACTTGAGAAAATTCAAGAGCGATGATTTATTATAAATTTCGAAGTGGTTTAACACAAAAACAGTGTGTTGACCGGATGATTTTTGCATTTGGTGATGAAGCCCCATCCAAAACTACAATTAATCGCTGGTTTGCTGAATTTCAATGTGGACGTGTCAAGCTCAGTGATGATCCCCGTCAAGGTCGTCCAAAAACTGCAGTCACCCAAGAAAACGTTGATGCTGTGCGTAAGCTGATTGAGGAAGATTGACATGTGACATACCGCGAAATTCAGGCCACTTTAGACATTGGCATGAGTCAAATACAAATAATCTTGCTTGAACAATTAGGTGTAAAAAAGTTGTTTTCCCGATGGATACCGCATTCGCTCTGTGAAGAGCAAAAAGCCGCTCGCGTTACTTGGTGCGTCAGAACTCTCGAAAGATTCCACGCAGGATCCTCAAATGCTATATACAACATCGTATCAAGTGACGAATCCTGAATATACGCGTACGAACCCGAAACAAAAAACCTGTCACGAGTTTGGGTGTTCGAAAATGATTTAAAGCCAACAAAAATTGTTCGTTCACGGAGTGTTGCAAAAAAAAAAATGGTGCCCACGTTTGTCTCCAAAACCGGCCATGTTACGACTATTCCTCTGGAGGTTCTTTGTGAACGGTTAATGCAGAATGGTATGCTAGCATTTGTTTGCCACAGGTCGTTTCTGAACTCCGTAAAGAGAAATGCAACCGCCGCATCATCCTCCATCACCACAATGCGAGTTCTCACACCGCACACAGAACAAAAGAGTTTTTAGAGCAATAAAACATAGAATTATTAGACCATCCGCCGTACAGCCCCGACCTAAGCCTTAATGATTTCTATACTTTCCCTAAAATAAAGAATAAATTGCGTGGACAGAGATTTTCATCACCTGAAGAAGCTGTGGACGCCTACAAAACGGCCATTTTGGAGACCCCAACATCCGAATGGAATGATTGCTTCAATGATTGGTTCCATCGTATGGAAAAATGTGTCAAATTTCGCGGAGAATACTTCGAAAAGCAATAAATACATTTTTAAATAGTAATGTTGTGTCACTTCCTTGATTCCTGAAATTTTCAATGCCGCCCTCGTATTTACCTAAGTCTGTAATCACCATTATTTTAGAGACACTTTTAAAACCAATGGATTTTTAACGATATCATTGGAGTTATACCGCGAATCTGTTTGTGCTAAAATACCAAATTATTAGGTTTCCTGTTTGGTTGTGTTTTGCGTTACCTCTAATTTGGTAAGCGTTACGAGCTCGGTCAATATTGTTGACCGATTAATTGTAAATGTGTTTACTCGAGGCATTCCATCTTAGTCCTCAGGGGTGACCACGCATCTGCATTTTAATTCTTAATCGAGGATAAATGTAGATTTCTATGGGCCGTCAGGTGGACTGTGTGCTACATTGTCACCCTTATTCTATTAAAAAAAAACTCTTTTTTGTGTTAAAGTTTTAATTCGATTTGAGGAATTTGTTGTAGGAGTTAGATTCACTGTCGTCGTTACAGACCTGGATGGCTCGAGCTTAGGTAGATCACTATATGAGTAAGTTTAAGAGGAATGTGAAAATGTAAATTATTTTAAAAGGAAATGTAGACAATTGCTTTCAAGACTTGCAACTCTCTCTATCGCACGATACAGCGATATGGAGCGAGCGGTATGAAACAGATAGCATTTTTGAAAATACCTACTCGTGTCGCGTCATTTCACAATCCTCTTCATATGTCATCTCTATACGTTGCTAAGGATTAACAGTAGGCAACTAAATATAGTATATACAATCCATATCGATACAGCTGTAGCTAGGTTTAGATAGTGTTTATCTAATAAGTTATACACGATTCATATTATTGTTAAAAACGATTTGTAATTTCGGTATGTACCTATCATTATATAAGGTGGGGGGATAAGTTTTAATCTGTGTAGTTATATTCCCCACCTAACTACGATATCCACGGTGTGCGGCGAGTGTGGCGATACAAGTCAGTAGATTGGGATGAGATGCGACATTTCTTTGCATTTCATCCTTGGCGGCAGGTCTGATTCTCGTCCGTCGGTCGAGCTGCGCGGATACCATAACCGATGTGATACGTCAAGCGATGGAGTATTTCATCCCCTTTGCTGACGTGCCCATTGGTGGTAAAGCTCGCCCATGGTTCAACGCCGAGTGCGCTCGTATTAAAAAGCACAAACTATATGGCGCACTTATCCTGGATCGATGCTCGAGACCGCAACGCTCCGGATGTTAGCCTAAAGAAGAGAGCCTTTAAAAAAGCTCTCTGTCAAACCATCTGGCAGTAGAGCTTTTTGGTCTCTCGCCAAAGCGGTCGAGACAAACTTCTGTCGGTCTACACTGCCTCCGCTGGTAAAACCAGATGGCTCACTGGCGAATACGCCTAAGGAGAAAGCGGACTTATTTGCTTCTCTCTTTGCTTGCAATTCGCGTCTGAACGGTAGCAACAGTGTACCATCTCAATTACCTCACTGCGGTACCTCTATGTCAGAGGTCCGTATAACCAACAAGGAGGTTCTTAAAATCTTGCGAAGTCTAAACGTGAACAAAGCTAATGGACCTGGTATACCAGCTATAGTTCTAAAGGTCTGTGCACCTGAGTTGTCTCCTCTGTTGACGCGCTTGTTCCGTCTCTCATTCAGGATTGGTATAGTGCCCAAATCTTGGAAGCTGGCCAATCCTTTGACAGAGTTTGGCACGCTAGCCTATTGGGCAATCTTTCAGCGCATGGCTTATCCCCTGGCCTAATTGACTGGGCGAAGGACTTTCTGAGTGAACGAGTCGTCATCGATGGTTGCTCGTCCAGTCCTATCGCGACAAACGCCGGAGTTCCTCAGGGATCCGTTCTCTCCGCAACTCTCTTCCTTCTGCATATAAATGATCTGCTCATTCCCGGTATCTATGAGTGCTCGGGCCAGTAGGGATCGATCCAGTCCGAAAGAGAAGCTTTGGTTGAGCGTGTGTATCTCACACTATAGGCAGTCTCCGAATGGTGCGATGACTGGTTGTGAATCTCGTGTGATTCACAACGCCTTCAAAACACAAGCGTGTCTTTTCACCGCTAAAAGAAGCCCGCTCACCCTGGGTCCTACTTTCCGGAATGTATCCTGGGAGTACACTGACTGCCTTCAGTTTTAGGGATTGAATTTTATTCGAACCTCAACTATGGGCGGTTCATTGAGTCCAGAGCCAAAGCAGCTGAAAGGAAACTTGGTGTCCTTGCAAGGGTGCGGCGGTACTTCAAGCCGGGGCAGCTTCTTACCTTATATAAAGCGCAAGTCCGGTCGTGCATGGAGTACTGCTGTTACGTATGGGCTGGTGCTGCAAAATGCCACCTGGCAGCGTTGGACTCAGTGGTCGTCATACGTGCTAAAAGGATCATTGGTAACCTTGATTTGGTTGAAACCAATTTTGTCAGCCATGAGTACAGGCGCAGAGTAACTAGCCTCTCGGTATTCTATAATGATGCATTTCTGTGAGTGTGCGCAGGAATTACACGCTTTAATTACTCTCTCTCTTTTCCACCATCGGACAACCAGGCGACCCCGCCCTTTCAACCCTTTGTTGTCGATATTCCACGCATTAAGACCAAACGATTTGCTTCGTCTTTTGTAATGCGTACAGCAAAAGAGTGGAATAATTTGCCGGTGTCTATCTTTTCGTCCGAATACAATCTGGGCACTTCAACGCAAGAGTGAAGGTGGATAGGCTTTTGTTACGCTAAGACAGTGAATTTACCATCTAAGGCTACATGACCACCTACCACCAGGTGGGATTGTGGTCAAGCACTGGCTTATAATAAGTAAAAAAAACACACCGCACATGCATACACTGAGAAAATTGCATGCAAAAAAGACATACAAGAATTGATAAGAACGTCATTCGTCATTGTTTTGTTAATAAACACCAAAATCCTATTATGATTTTTACTAATAACACGTTTTGGGCGAAAATGATATAATTGACTGTTTTTATATTATTAAAGTGTTTTATAATATAAAAATAGTCAATTGACACTTAGCTACCAAGATCATAAAACAAATATTACTAGAAGTGATTTTCTATAATTATGATCTCAAAGTATGCATTAGTATAAAGGTCATTTTTTTGTTGTTGTTAAGTATGCATTTACTAACATACGTACTTTGCTATATTCAGCATATAATGTATTCAATGTGTTTTACCTTGCAACATAAAAAAATACTAAAAGTAAAAATTTAAGACTGTCTATAATGCCATATTATCATGCCCATAGTACACAACGATGCTCAAAACTTTATTCTAACTCAAGAACAGTTCTGGTGCTATGATTTGTTGACCTCAGAGTTCGACTAAGCACAGTATTAAAACTGCCCTTGAGTAAATATTTAAATATAAAAAAATATCTATGTTTCATAAAAGGGAACTAGGAGTTTGTGTGACAAATGAGCCACGCGATAACTACAGTGCTAGATGCGATCAATCACGACATCGACAATGATTGCAATATATTTCTCCGTGGTAGAGCCACGCTACTACTATATTATGGCTGTGGCACGAATGGGGCGGCTCGACCGGGGAAGGAACACGTTCTCATAGAATATTAGTGTGAAATATTATCTTAGTGCTGCTGTGTTTCGTATGGTGAATGTAGAGAAAACCGGATACCCTTTTTACTGAAAACGAGGCATTCCATCTTGTTCCTCAGGGGTGACGCATTTGCATTTTGAATTTTAATTTGAAAATGATGCATCTGCATTTTGATTCTTAATCGAGGATCCACCTAACATCAGGTGGACAGTGTGCTCCTTTATCACCCCTAATCTATAAAAAAATATTTTTGACAGGTGTTTGAGTACTGGTTAAGAACATTAGAAATGAAAGGATGGCTGCGGCGTTCCCCCGGCAAGGAAACTTTCATTTTCATGTTGGGCAGTGCTGCCTTCTTTTATTTAATGCGGCTTGAAAGAGAAAACACCAAGCGAACGCCTTTGTTCTGGTAAGTGTGATTGAAGCAAACATAAAACTTCTTTTATAATACCTAAATAACAAACAAGCTAACAGTCCACCTTATAACAAAATCAGACCAACAAAGAAAAATAGAAAAATCAATCACGTGCATGTCAAGTGAAGCCGAATTTAAACTCAACTTCTTGACACGCGATGTACTTGTTTTTTTATACGTGGTAGAGCTATGCTGCAGCTATATTACTGGTATGTTATAAGTTGAAGCAGGAATGGGTTGGCTCGACCGGGGAAGGACCACGCTCTCACATAATACCAGCGTTAAATAGCAGCTTAACACTGCTGTGTTTCGTATGGTGAATGTATAGAACCGGAGACCCTTTTTACTGGCAACGAGGCTTTCTATCTTAGTTCTCGCGGGTGACAACGCATCTTCATTTTGATTCGTAATCGAGAACAGATGTAGATGTCTATGGGTCAGAGCAACCACTTACCATCATCATGTGGACTGTATGCTCGTTTGTCACCCATATCCTATAAAAAAACCACCTAAACCATGTTTTGGTTGCTAATTATTTTAGATGGATTACGTAAGCATGAAATCGTGTTCTTACAATAAGATGAGGCTTGTTATTAGCTTAATTTTGGCGTCACTTTACATGTACATAGCATTCTGTCTATCTTTGTTTGCCTGAGACATTTGTACGTGGTAGTGCCTTGCTGCAGCTATATTAGTAGTATAGTTGTAGCACGAATGGGTCGGCTCGACCGGGGAATGACCACGTCCTCACAGAATACCAGCGTAAAATAACAGCTTAACACTGCTGTGTTTCGTATGGTGAGTGTAGAAAACCGGAGACCCTTTTTACTGCAATAGAGGCATTCCATCTTAGTACTCACGGGTGACAACGCATCTGTATTTTGATTCACAAACGAGGATAGATGTAGATGTCTATGGGCCACAGCAACCACTTACCATCAGGTGGACTGTGTACTCGTTTGTCACCTTATCCTATAAAAAAAGACAGTAAGTAGCCAATGATCCTTGGACACTTGCAAATAATTAAACTAAAAATATGGAAAAATGTGTGTGTGTTGGCTGATTGGCTCTTACCCTAAAAACCTGAACAATGGATGCAGTGCTGTATGACGGCAGATATAATTAAGACGATGAATCGGAAGAACACAGATCTTAAAGAGCCCCACCATACTTTAATCATATTTCATTTTGTGACTAAGGTTTAGTGGTCATAACCGCGACTACTGTCATCATGTGGCTTGGTTCGAATCTGATTTAAATCCGGATCGAGCCAAATGTAGTTATTTGCTTCATTGGTTGGGTCGGTATTTGACAAGAAGTTCTTAATAGCAGCCCGGAGCCAGAGAGTTGGCGCTGTTTCAATCCCGTGCCTCAGTAAGCATATAAAGCTGAAGGTCCTGCGCCTGATCTATCTCCAGTCGTGTCGGATAGCCGTCCTATCGGACTACGAGAATGATGAAATAGAGAGTGTACCTACGCTTACGCACATACTCGCATTAGAGAGTGGCTGCGGTGACCGGAATTCGGTTTAAAGTTAAAGTTACATACTATATACGTCCCACTGCTGAGCTCAGCCCTCCTCTCATGTATGAGAGAGTTTTAGGGCCAGGAAGTGTCCGCCGCGCTGCCCCAATGCGTGTTGGCAAACTTCACATGAAATATTTTATTTTATTTCTCAGACATGCAGGTTTCCTCACGATGTTTTACTTCACCGCCGAGTACGTGGTAAATCAGCATTTAAAATTGCAACTAACAATTTCATTGGTGCCGGTGGGGATTGAACCCCAGTTGCTCCGTAATCATCTGAGCTACGACGGCTCGGAAATCGGTTTAGATGACATTAATATTATTACTTTAAAATGTTGGTGACTGTACGGTTTTTCGTTTTTAAATTACTAATTGAATTTAGATAACAATTGACTGTAAACCTACCGATTTAGAAGTGTTTGTTTCCTAAACTTCGCTTACTGGTACGAGGCTAGCAATCGAGAACCTTTCTTCCCCCATAGGATGTCCGCTTGTCAGCTCTTGGAGCTATATGGAAGGGCCATTGCTACTTCAGTTTACTGATCCGTTGGACTATGTCGGTTATTCTGGTTCTACTGCAAATATTCTCTTTACACAGTCTATCACGCCAGAAAACTCCGAGCATAGCTTTTTCCATAGCTCGCTGAACGACCTTAAGCGTCGTCATACGGCCAACAGCGAAGGACTACGTCTTAGATCCATATGTCATAACTGGCAACACGGACTTGTTGTCTTTGTCGACTTAATTAAATTAGTTTTTTTATAAGTTTTCATTCTATAATTTGATATAAAAGTATTTTTCAATATTTCTTTATTTTGAAAAGGTTCTTTACACCACCACGCGTTTCGAAGGAGGTTGGAGAACCTGTGATAGGCATCAAAGGCAGAAGTCCGGCGTGTCCTCATAAAGGGAACTGCATTAATTACGTTTTAAAAGTAAGTATTAGTATAATTGCTTACAAATACATAGTAGTGCTCGCGGAACTTTCTGTGTTGGTTCTGTCTTTAGTGACCGTTCTATGACACAGAACACTCCACTGTAAAAGTACTGCTAGACTACATGGAATTTATTATTTTGTGTAGTAAGATTTGTAAGGTGCATGTAATAGTGTTAAGTGCTTTTATTTAGAAGCACTTACATATTAATATTTTAGCTATTTTTTATTATATTTATTATAACTATATTTTTTCGTTAAGTGTTTGACGTGCCGATGTCATAGTTAACTTGGAGTATTTTCGAAGTCCTCCTAACGAGAGAGTCCCGTGTTCAGCAGTGGACTTTTGCGGGTTGATGAGAAAGAAGATGGAACTGGAAACTGGAACTAGCTGCACCCGTCATTATTTGGATTTAAAAAAGTGTACAATATATTATATAAACAGATTAGTAATCAGCGCTATCTATCTAAAGGCAATGGTGGTTAATCATGGAAGATTACGATACGTTTATTTGGGAAGTAGCAGCAAAATGTTGTGAACAAGATTAGCGAAATAAATGCATTATTATACTATACATTTTCCTGAAGTTGGAAACTACTCTTTTAGAGCCTTTTAGAACATATTCAAAAAGTCTATAATAGTTTAAGTAACAGCTTATATAGTAATTCCCAGTGCTGAGAAGAGATTATCTTTCTCTATCAGTGCGTGTTGTTTGTGTCGAGCTCAACGGCGTGTTCATATATTATGTATGTGAAGTCTACAAAAATGTAGTTATTATCGACAATGTTTTCATTAATATTGTAATAACCCTTTTATAGTTGTGCACTGTGTTGTTTTTGCTCAGAAAATTGGGGCGTATATACACTGTAACTTCATTAACTTTATTTCAACTTTAGATATGTAGGCACGTGGTTGAGGTTATCAAAAATTGTTAGTGGGTAATGTGATTTTCAATAGTGACGCCATGCGGTATTTTGAACGTGTAACCGAATGTCATTATCAAAGTTATTCATATTTTAATAATTACGAGAGGAGCGCATTGCGTCAGCATACTAGAATTTCCTTGTCCTAGTCATTATTCCTCAAGTCGAAGAATAAACATGTGGTTTTCCTATAAACTTTACCACCGTTATATCAGCTATTTCCGCTGTGATTATTTTAAACGGTTGTATTTTGCAAATACTATCCATACATAATGATCTGCCAGAATATTTATACTATACTATAATACTTTTAAGAAAATAATTAGATTTTTGAAACTGTTTGGTATGGTCTAATATTAAATATGGGAGTGCTCCCATATTTTCTATTAGACCATACCAGTGACTACTCAAAACTTGACAACAAGAGTGTAGAACCAGTATGTGTTGCTAGTGATAACATATGGTCCTGAGACGTGGTCCTTCACTGCTGGCCGTTTGTGGATGCTTAAATACGCTCTGCCGCTGAGTTCTTTTGCGTGATAGACTTCGTAATAAGGATATCCGCAGCAGAACCAGAATAAACGACATAGTAAGGTGAAGTGGCATTGGACTGGCCATATAACTCGATGAACTGACAAGACCTAGTAATGTATGCAGGCAGTCGATGGATGTAGGTGACTCAGAACTTTGTTTTATGACATTACTTGGGGAAGGCCAATGTTCAGCAGTGGACTTGTGAAGGGCTGTGATGATGATGATTGTGAAAGTATACCCTATCGGTAAATAAATTGATAAAATTGATATTTATTAGTAGTAAGTATTTTTACTTGGAATATAATGTACCTACTATATATTAACATTGAAAAAAAAGAAAAAAAAGAAAATGCAGTCTAATTGTTTTTTGAGGTCGGCAATAATTAACAGAAGGTTAAATGTAAACGAAGTAAATTAGTAACCTCGATTTTATTGTGCATGAGGATAGTAGCAAGGTATCTTTATTGCTTTTTCTTTGAATGTTTGTTTTCTTTCAGTTTATAAATAAATTTTCGTCTAATTACGCCGGGTATTATTAAAATGTGTGTTGATCCATATATAGCATAATATACCTGCAGCGTAGCTCTAGTAATCTCTCAACTAGAGCTACGCTGCAGGTATATTATGCTGGTAACATTAACGAGTCGACTGGAACGACTCGACCGGGGAAGAACCACGATTTCACAAAGTACTGGTTTCCCCGGTTCTCTACACTCACCACACAAAATACAGCAGAATCAAGTAGTTATTTTACGATGGTATTTTGTGGGAGCGTTGTCACCCATTCGAGCTACAACCATAATATAGGTGCAACGTGGCTCTATCGGGTAGTCTTAAATTTGTTGAACACTGAACACTGAATCTCTTAACAAATATTGCTCGAATTACAGGGCACGGCGCAACTGTTTGGCGTGGGTTGCTTGATGACAACGCTACGCACAATCCTACCACGGATACTGACGCCAACGAAAGCGTTGAAGTCACTGCGGCTGTCCCATCTCAAGCTTGGGCTATTCTTTGGTGGTTATATCGGCATTTACAGAGTATGTATCTTAGAATATATATTTATTTACGAACTAGCAACACGCCGGCTTTACCTCGGTGAGCTCTATTAATGTAGCGTCATTTAGATCTTTTTCTGGGGGCACGGCAGTGCCCCGCCAAGTCGAGCAAAAAAGCGGCACGGCCGTACCATCCTTTTCTCGAAGCAGTTCAGGCCATTTTCGTAACCCTATAACTTCGTTGTGGATAAAACTAGAAGCCTGAATTTTCCGTAACTAAGTAGGCATTTTGCAATTTCCGTCCAGTTTTCGAGATACACCAACTGCATAAATAACTTTGTAATCCCATATAAATATATAGGATTACAAAGTTACATTTGCAGTGAATTAATCAGTGTACCTATATATGTATAATGGAATAATAGGTGTAGATAGGTACCTAGATATAACTATCTACAAAAAGAAATGAGATGCCATCAAAAACATAACTTGTAAAAGAACCAAGTCTCGCAACTCAGTTCTTCCACCGTAAAAAGTTGTGAGATACATGTAATACCAAGTCGGTTAATTTATTCAGTCCCTACTTAAGGGTCCTTCTGTCTCAAGTTATTACGTAATTAGTTAACCTAACAATATCTTATAATAACCATATGAATATTAAAAATATTTTATGTTTTAAATAAATAGATTGACATTAAATAATTATCAAGACCATATATTTTTATCAATTTTACAATTTCACAAAAAATACTTCAAGTTTTTTGGATACACTAGGCTATATATCTCCCGGGATTGCTCTATCTGTTCGTGAAGTTATATCAGCCCAAACAGACAGACAAACAAAAATTATACAAATCATGTCAATGTCGTGCAAGTAATCCCCCGAGCTAGACGAAAGGCACTTATTTAGATATTACAGAGAGGCACTTGAATTTATTTTTTTATAAATTTAAATAAAATTGAAGTGACTGTCGATCTGTCGACTGAATATCGAAATAACTGTCTTATATTGAATGGAGGGGGTTATTTGCATGCCACTACGAAATGAATAAACATTTTTAAAATATTTCTCCGTCTGTCTTGCTGTCTGTCTGTCTGTCCGGGCTAATCTTCGGAATGGCTGAACAGATAAGAGAGCAATGCCAGAAGTGATTTAGAAGCTAAAGAGATTTAAAAAAACATGTGTGCAGTTCATAACCTTCGGAAAAACTAAACTTCGAGAGAACTTAGTTTTTCTGATTGTTGGATGTTTTGACAGAACTTACCAGACTAAGTATATTATATTATATAATACAATAGAATAAGAAATCTATAGATTGATATCTATACAAATAAATAAAATTGTAGTGTCTGTTTGTAATGCCGAAATAACAGCTTTTTACTATATGCATATAAAAGTATATACGGTAGTTATAACAAAAACACGATTTTTCAAATATTTGTCTGTCTGTCTTTCTGTCTATCTGTCTGTTTGTTCCGGATAATCTCCGAAACGGCTGAACCGATTTTGACCCGACTTTCACTGGCAGATAGCTGATATTATATGAAGTAACTTAGGCTACTTTTATTTAAATGATTAGGGAAAAATAATTAGGGTTTCGCGCAAAAAATTAAAACCCATGAAATCCAATCGTAATAAACTACGCGCGGGCGAAGTCGCGGGGAACAGCTAGTATAAAATAAGAAATCATTAATAGAATTAGTTTTACCCAACATTTTTATGCATGTGTTTCGATTGTTACAGCTCGTGATATGTCTTCTGTGTCGAACGTATGGGAAAGACAGTGCGCTATATGCACTTCCGGCGGGTTTCTTCGCTGGCGCTGCGTTAAGAGCTTCTCCGTCTACGCCTATTGCGTTGGCGCCTGTAACGTCCTCATTTCAGGTATTTGATATATTTTTTTTATATCAGAGGGGCACCGGCGACTCACCTAATGGTAAGTGACAACCGCACCCCATGAACAACTGCAACAACGTGGAAATTGCAAGTGCGTTGTGGGCTTTTAAAAAAAAAGAAGGTTTCTAAGTCGTATCTGTTTGGAAAAATCGCTGGTGGTAGTCGATTCCACAAGGAAGTTGTGCGAGAAAGAAAACTTCTGGTAATTCTCAGAGTGGTATACCGCCAATCATCCAGATTTAAACCGGATGGTATCATGTGTTTTGTCCTAACAATTCCTCTGTACACTTCCCGTGGTAGATGCGATAGAATGTGCAAAGGGATGCAACATCTCTTCGCAGTGCTAGTGAGTCAAGCTGATCAGAAAGGTCGTCGACGATTCGAGCCGCTCTGTTTTGCATACAGTCAAGTGGAAGGAGTCATCAAAAGTTGTTATCAGGAAGATGCTGCTGCCCATCTCCTGTTTCAGTTTCCCTTGTTGCCTCTTACGACACTTACAGAATGAATTGTGATTATCTTACGCCGGCACTGCACGGTATACTGACCTGTATTTTTGTTTAGTGTAATAAATAAATTACAACCAAGCCTTTCGTCTTCCAGATTTTGGGTTCCTGGGCATACCAGAAGGGCATGATCCCGGAACATTGGCCGCTGGTGGAGCTGCTGTACTGTTTGTGCCAGGGCCTGTTGTTCCACGCCCGCGTCATGCACGAGGACGTGTGTCCGCGATACATTATCAACTTGATGCACACAGTTACCAGTTCCAAGTGAGTATTTCATATTACTACTACAACTACTTCCTAACGATTTTGTCTTTCTAAATTAGAAAGAAAGAACGTATTTAATATTTATACATGGCTGCAAACAAAAAAAAAGTACTTAACAAAATATTAAGAAAAAACATATAAAAAAATATTTGCTGCAACAAAAAGGCCACTGACTTATGCTACAGTAACAGAGTTACCGCAGCGCTGATATTCTGTCGGAGTCACATAAGTTGACTTGCGAAAGCAAAGTTAACAGTAAATATAGTAGTTATTTATATTAAATATCAGGTACATTAAACTAGCTAACACTATGCTACGTTCTTGTATCTATATTAATATTAGTCTATGGAACAAACTGAAGGTCTGTGGACTTATTTAATATTTATATCCAAAAAACTTTTGGTTTCATTTCCTTTTAAAATATATTCCTTTTAACATTTATACAATAGAGCGAAGAGCCCCATTTACTCTGTGTCCTGTATTCACTCGTCGCCCTATATTCTTGTCCTATCCTCCATTCCTGCAACAAACACATCCTAAATACATACTCATCCACTTGCTCAACCAACTCTCCTTCTTTTTGGAATTGGAACGAAGTTACTTATCGGACGGTACGAACTTGGCGGATGGGGGCTAGGCGAGAAAAAATGTAAGATTTTTCCGTCACGATCCCTTCTGATATAGTGTAGACGGCCTTAGCGGCTATAAGGAAGCTAGATGGAATAATATCCATCTCCCTCGCACTTTTTCTTAAATTTTATTTAAATTAATTTATTTGTATTTGTTAATCAATAATATAATACACGTACGTTATACTACGAAAGGAACTTCGTTCCAACCATTGAGTTATATGTACTACGTACTAGAGAAGCCATTCCAAACAAAAATTGTGTCCTACTCTATGTCTTCGCGCATGCGCGGGAGTAGTAGTCGCGCATGAGCGAAGACTTTAATTTGATATAAAATAAGATATTAATATAAAATAAATATAATAATTTAATATAAAATATCTTAATTTAATCTAAACAAACATATTTCTAAATAAAATGTAATAATAATAATTTTATGGAATTCACAAATCTTCATTTTACGCAATATTTAGTTTGTATGGACTGCACTACAGTTCAGTTGAACATAGTCAATGTTCGGAATGGCTTCTCTAGTACGTAGTACATATAACTCAATGGTTCCAACCGAGTGTTCCACGACACTCACGTGTTTTTTTTATTATTTAACGTATTGTTTTACTTTCTTCTCTTTCAAAAACCATCACTTTCGTCTAATTTGCATTTACTTTTATCCCCCTTTCTTTGTATGACATGTTTATTAATGTAACTGTCATTTGCAAACGACGAAAATAAGACTTGATCGTCTGCGTACAAAGGGCATTTGAAGGTTAATTCACCCGTTCTTAACCCAGATTCTTTAACTTTTAAAGTTTCTAAACAACTGTTAATAAATAGGTTGAACAGCCACGGGGAAGCTACACAACCCTGCCTGACACTTTTATGGATGTTAAACAAGTCCGAATAAGCCTGGTTGCGCATAGAAAAGACCTGATCCGTACCCTTATCTAAATCCAGCTTTCAAAATACATTGATTCTCGTCTCGCAGAGCGTTCATTCTATGCTGCTCTGACTTTCCCTAGCGGTTCTAATGAGTTTCTAGAACATTTTGACAATTGCCTGAAAATTATCAGATATCCTTTCCACTACTTCTTTTACTCTCTTATTCGGACATCTTAAAACTGCCTTTTTTTCTGTCAATCTCATCATCCATACAGCTAGACTTACCAGCTTTAGTTGCTAGTACATCTAGACACGATCTCTGCTTCAACTTCCATTCGTTCCATCCATTATCCTACCATAACGTATTATTATTTCTGCCATTCTTCCTTTTACTTGTATCACATACATCGGTTGTTGCATCCACCAAACCTCTTAACCTTTTCGCACATGCTACAAGTCTGAATCCTTCATACATAATTCATCTAAATCACTTAATTTACATTATACTTCTCTTTCACATCTTCATCTTGTAACCGTTCTTTCCCGCGAAAATTGAGAGATGGCATGTCTTACAGCCTGTGATTATAACTAAATTCAAACCAGAGCACAGTAGATACATTGTTGCTTGGCGTCAGTTATAGGTAAGATCTATTATATTTTATTCCGTTTGCTCTTAGACAGTAATTTAGTCCTACCGCTTAAAAATTAGTATGACTCCACCGAGGTTAACTGACTTGATTTTTGGAACGAATGAATTTGTACGAATTTGAAGGATGGGGGCTAGGCGAGAACAAGTGTAAGATTTTTCCGTCACGGCCCCCTTTCTATAGTACGAACGAGATTTGAAGGATGGGGGCTAGGCGAGAACAAGTGTAAGATTTTTCCGTCACGGCCCCCTTTCTATAGTACGAACGAGATTTGAAGGATGGGGGCTAGGCGAGAACAAGTGTAAGATTTTTCCGTCACGGCCCCCTTTCTATAGTACGAACGAGATTTGAAGGATGGGGGCTAGGCGAGAACAAGTGTAAGATTTTTCCGTCACGGCCCCCTTTCTATAGTACGAACGAGATTTGAAGGATGGGGGCTAGGCGAGAACAAGTGTAAGATTTTTCCGTCACGGCCCCCTTTCTATAGTACGAACGAGATTTGAAGGATGGGGGCTAGGCGAGAACAAGTGTAAGATTTTTCCGTCACGGCCCCCTTTCTATAGTACGAACGAGATTTGAAGGATGGGGGCTAGGCGAGAACAAGTGTAAGATTTTTCCGTCACGGCCCCCTTTCTGTAGTACGAACGAGATAGAATAATGACAATATCCCTCGCACTTTTTATCTTGCCATGAGAGAAATATTATTTTATTTTAAATGACGCTTCATTTTAATAGACGCTAGTAATTCATTAATTTGTATTCGTTAATCAATATATACTACGACAGGAACTTCGTTCCAACCCAGTGTTCCACGACACTCACCCTGTTTTTTTTATATTTCAGAGCTGACGAAATTCAAGCCGCCTTCATACAGAGGATTCTCCGAACTCTCTGAGCCTAGGGACCTCATTTTAGTGTTAAATAATAAAACGCATTAGATAATTTTAAAATGGGGACGCAAGTCTGTGATTTTGTTTAAGATTATGTGGTACAGGGTTTCCACGTGTTAATTTTTTTTTTGCAAATTTATCAGGGAATTAAATTTGTTTTCTTTTTTTATTTATTTAGTAAAGAACATGACGATAGCTTATAGTTAGCTTGTAGGGCTAGTACTGTTAGATATTTTTTAACGTTTGCCATGTAGTTGAGTCCCATTTTTGATAACTATAAATATCGATATGCCCGTCTTGATCCATCACTTTTACCATCAGGTGGGATAGCAGTCATGCACTGGCTTAAGAACTTATGATAGTTAAATAAATGTTTTTACTTATTACATTAGATTTTACTACCGTAATGGCATGTGCCTTGTTTAAATATGAAGCATATTTATTCGTTTTTAAGTTCATATAATGTAAAATAAAAAATAGCTTTATTGCAAATTTGTCAAATAAGGTAAGGGTTAAAATGGGCTATATAAGATTTTTATTAAACACCATATAAAATTATTAATGCATTCCAATTTTATAATAAATGATCCATAAAATAAAAAAACCGGTCGGTAATATTTTCAAATTCAAAGGAAAGCGCTTGAAATGTATTAAAATTAAAATTTTCATAATAAAAGTGAAGTCGACACAAACAAAAATGCGAACATTCTTTAAATATCTTGATAGAAAATATGTAAATACATCAAATAAAATAGTTTAAGCCTAAATATTTATTTGCGACCTGTCGCTTGTAAACAATGTTATGTATCCTTATGCCGAGTGCGCGGATACATGCTAATAATGCTAATATCCATCCTTGTAATAGCATTATTCTTTACTCGATTGATTTGCAGTCACAAATGATAAGTTTTTAACAAACATGCGTATCATGCATACGTAATGTGTGACGGTTACACATATATATATAGATAAAAGGTGTGGGAACTAATATAAGAAAAGAGGAAAGCCGATACGAATAAATCATACGAAAGAAACAAATTCACAAATTGGCTTATTAGCAAAAATATTTTTGTCTACTATTTCAGGCGATTATTTAATCCATAGCAAATTTTTTTATATCATTGCTTTAATGTTTGTAATTTAAAGATGGTTTTAGGAAGTAAGTAAATATATTAATCAGGTTCGAAGGACCAAAATTGTGGCCTGTTTATTAATTATTATGTTTATGATAGTACTGTGCTATATTAGATTAAAAGTTTGATGATATATTTATTTATGAAGGCTATGTCGCACTGTAATAACTATAAAAAACTGAATTTCTGTTCTCTTGTATTTTAGATTCCAATCACTTATTTTTACTTTAGCAGATTGTGCCTTTCTTAAAAAGAAAATAAGCATCTTTGTATGAATTTTATAATTTTTTATTTTATATTTTATGACATGATTATAAATTGTGAAGTGTTTGAAGGCATAGAACTTAAGTATTGGACTTTATTTTAGGGCCTCTAATGTAGGTATTGGTCGGTTATCAAAAGCTGGGCATGTCTACAGTACTCATACCAAAGCAATTTATTTTAACCGTTTAAAAAATCAATGTTTTTTAAATCTGTCAGAAATTGAGCGCACCGTGTATTAATTTAAAAAAAAAGATATATTTGTTAGAAATCTAATACTATATCGCAAACTAATTATTATACACCACATAAATCTTTATCGCTTGAAGAATTAAATGATTCATTATCGGAATGTCCTCTTATTATTATAAAGATACGCGCGCACGAAACTATCGGCCAGCTTATATATAGATGTTTTATGTATAAGTGCGCATGAACGCTAATCTAGTCGGCCCGTTTTAAAATCTGTGAGGAAACACAAAATTCCGATCCGATGTCGTTACACCTAAAGTTTAGTACTAGAAGCCGTGCATGGGGCCCTGTTCTTAGTCGGCCATTCGACTTCAAGTAAAAACAAGTGACTTGCTTTTATATTGACGTCAAAATACTTATATAGCTAAGAACACTCTCGATTAAGACAACTTTGAAACGAAAAAAAAAAACTTAATCAAAATTGGTTCATCCGTTCAGGAGCTATGATGCCACAGACAGACACACAGATACATCGCGGTTAAAATTCTTTTGAATGGTGCGTGCTTTTGAAAATGTAATTTTAAATCTTTGTAGGATTGGACAATTTTACTAGTTTTTCACACAATAGTGGATGCACACAGTATTTTTTCGCGTGTCTTTTGACGCATTTAAAAAAAAACAACAAATACATGCTACTTATATGAAATCCATATTGTACAGATTCAACCGGCCGGTAAGAAAACGTTTAATGCGCGTTGAGGTTGATCGTTTTCTTTTTTTTTTTTATAGGATAAGGGTGACAAACGTGCACACAGTCCATCTGATGGTAAGTGGTTGCTGCGGCCCATAGACATCTACATCTATCCTCTATTACAAATCAAAATGTAGATGCGTTGTCACCCGTGAGGACTAAGATGGAATGCCTCATTTCCAGTAAAAAGGGCCTCCGGCCACCTGCACTCACCAAGCGAAACGCAGAGGTAAACCTCTACTTCACGCTGGTATTCTGTGAGGTCGTGGTATCCACCCCGGTTCGAGCCGGCCCATCCGTGCGACAGCAAAAGCTGCCGCGTGGCTCTACCACTGTTAGTTAGTTAGTTCAATGAAACAAACGTTTCATGTGCAATAAATTTGATGAACGACTAGTGACGTTAGCTTCCAAGTACGCAAAGCCTGAGCCTGTGAAACTATCAACTTTTTATCTTAACATGACCATCGGAGCACTTGTAGTTTACTCACCATTACCACTAATAGTTCACATACTCAGACATTTAATACGCAAAATCGCACCATTTTTACAAAATATGATATGATATGTAAAATATCCTCCGCATGTGAAATATTTGAGTTTTTATTACTAGACACTGATCTTAGAACCTTTTACTTTTCAAAAGAGACTTGTAAAGTACAGAAGGTACTTATGTTATTATATGCAATATGTTGATGTTAAGCAGAGATATACTTGATGTTATTAATAAAGTAATGTTTAAGAAATATTTTGATTTAGCATTTTATTTTTATAATTACACAAGAAATGAAATGAAAATGTTTTTATAGTGGCAGTGTTACCATATGCAAGGTACAGGAATTTCATTGTGTACCAAAAAATAATTTTTACTATAAATTGTTATATTTTTGTAATAAATTTTTGCTTATTATGTGAAAAATAAACCACTTTCTGCATTTAATTATTTTATTTGTGTAAATATCTTTTTGTAGATATTGTTTAGTCTAAAATCCATTCTAACGATATCTTCGAAGACCTAAAAGTTTGCGAAGCATGCACAAAGTACATTTTTCCTAATGAAATTCATGAAATTAATTTCCTTCGTGCTGAAGCATATTCTTCACGACTTTACCTGATGTTACTTATTCGATTTCCTCAATTCTAGGACCACTAGAATTACTCGCTCTGGGCGCGTCGGTTCCGTGTAATTTCAACATGGCGGGTTGGCATACTGCCTGTGCCGCTTTCAAATGTTGTTCCAGTTCCGCTGTGGAGGCAGCTGGGTTATTTTCTAGCCAACGAAGTTGATTGTTACATTCTGTTATAACTTCGTTGCGTTCGCTGTCCGTCAATCTGTTGCCCGAGTTTTCTGCCGCCTGGTAATTTTGAAAACACGATATTATAATGAGTAATAGAAAACAATCTGCGAGCGTCTGTTTTTCCGTCCGTATAAAATATGGGCGCTTTCAAGGTAAGAGTGAATAGGCTTTTGTTATGTTAACATAGTGCGATATGCCATCTAGGGTTTCATTACTATTAACCACCAGATGGAATTATAGTCGAGCACTGGCTTATAATACAAAAATATTTAAAGCACAGCGTAAAGAAATGACAATTTCGTATAATGTATTTATCAGGATATAAAAAGAAAAATTATCGACCGTATGCCTTGTAGGGGCGGTGTAAGAGTGTCCACTACCATATGTGTTCGTGTGTGTTTTAAGAGGCGTCAGTGGGAAACTGAAACAGGAGACGGTTAGCAGCATCTTCCTGATACCATTTCGATAATAACAAAAAAAAAAAACTGGTGGATAATTCGGCTGCTTAACGTAGCAATTCAGTTGTGGACTGTAATGAATGAACCTATCAAAATCCCATTGCTGTGCATGGTGTTTAATTAAGCAAGTAGAAGGGCACAATCACAAGTAATGCAGTACGACGTCTTCCCGTGCGCTCATTTAAAGATGATGCACAATCGCAATGTGTGTATGTGTTGTGCCAGTTTTATTTAACCGATATTTATGCCCAAATACTCAAATGCTGCTCAATTTTAAGACGCCGTTAAGTCTCCTGCTGTCTCTATCACTTTAAGTCAAAGTGACTACACCATTAGACTTAACATCTTAAATGTGAGTAAAGTATAGGTCACAATCACAAGTAAAACTATTATGTGCCGATAGAAAAGAGTTACAGGCTTACTTTTTCTATCACCCGGTGGTACTGAAACAGGTTCTTCAGTACCGCCGGGTAGTAGAAAAATTCAGGCTTGCTAATCAATACAAGCCAACACCAATGATACCATGATTCATTATTACTGTCATCTGTCAGTATTTTTGGCTTATTACTCAACTGCTCCAGAAGGAGCGTAATGTTTTTAGAGTAAGTATGATTATTTCTTTGGCACGCTCTGGAGTCTAAACGATTTAATGGATTTTAACATTGGGAGTGTCGTTAGATTAGATTCGTCTTAGTTGTGGAAGTGACATGAAGTATATATATTTTTACGGTATATGGTATTTTATATAGTTTTTTTTTTTACGGTAAACTTTTTAAGCAGTCGCGATTTCGTCATTACCGTTTTAACTATGGGGTTAGTTCTAGGCGCAAGATAACGGCTTTACCTGCTTTCCGACTCACGGGGGTGAAACATCGCCAACTTTCCGACTCGAGGCTGCTATTAAGTTACTTGACA